AGCTGGAGGACTGTGTGATGGTCAAACCTCTCTGAGCCTCGAAGTCCTCACCTATAAAATGGGGGAATAATAAACACCTTGCAAGAAAGGGTTGGGAATCATACAATGGAACAAAAGGCAGAGTGTCTGCAACAGAGTTGACTTTTGATAAATGGGAGCTATCATCTAGTCCAAATCCCTCATTCCCCAGGGAAAGAAGTGGAGGCTACCATCTCATGGAAGTTAGAGGCGTACCCAGCGTCACAGACATACGGCAGAGTTGATGATGGATTTTAAATTTCCATATGGAATCGGAGGTACAACCTTAGGATAAATTCCTAGAAGTAGGACTGCTGTGTTAAAAAGTTAATGAATGTGCAGTTTTGTTATGAACTGGCAAATTCCCCTCCATAAAGAATGCACATGTTTGCATTTCCACCAGCAAGTTATGAGAACACCTTGAACATTGTTTTAAAAGAGAAGTGATATCTCTAGAACATTGAAACGGAATTTCAAAACCATGTTGTGCAAGATGGCTCATACAAACAGGTGTGCACTTAATGAACTTAGCTTGTTCAGCTGACACATAATCTTCATTAGGAACAGTGTGAGGACCAAGAAGCTCAATCAGCCCAGGGCAGCTATTCAATTGTAAAGGCTTCTTTCTCAAATATTGATTTTCTTACATGTAAGGAAAGAATTGCTTTGTAGAGACGTGAACAGAATGGAAGAGGAGATGACCTAGATATGTGACTTTGTATATTTGTGTCCTCATTATGGAGAATATAATGAGAGGGAGGGTGCCTCCCCAGCACCCACTCCCACTTCTCCTAACTACTGGGTTGTTGTTGTTGCTGTTGTTATTTACTGTTACCCACACCTTACACAGAGCCCATACACTTTTGAGAGAATACACCTCTAACCCTGGGTCTGGGGGTGGAGCATGTAGCTCAGGCCCCCACTAACCAGCCCAACCTTATTCCCTGAATGTATTAATGTTTCAGGTGCAGACACATAGCCCTATAAGGGCCAAGGTAGAGAATATGAATCTGACAAGAAAAAAAAAGAAACTAGGTACTTGTTTGCTTAATTCAACCCCCAATAAACCAGCCTTGAAGCCTGTCTTACCTCTGCACTTTTATCTGTGTGACCCAATAAACTTCTTTATTTATTTATGTATTTATTATTTTTATTTTTAAGTAATCTCTACACCCAACATGGGGCTTGAACTCACAACCCTGAGATCAAGAGTTGCATGTTCTACTGACTGAGCCAGCCAAGCACCCCTCTCATTTATTATTTAAACCAATAAGAGTTGAGTGTTCTGAGATTTGTAACCAAAAACATTCCAGTTTATACCATGAGCAATTTTAGTATTATCTATGAGAATTATTTCATAAGTATATGATATTACATCAGCTTTTTAAAGAATAGATGGGTGAAAATATATCTTTTCATGAAACTTTTTTTTAAGATTTTATTTATTTGACAGAGAGAGACACAGCAAGAGAGAGAACACAAGCAGGGAGAGTGGGAGAGGGAGAAGCAGGCTTCCCGCTGAGCAGGGAGCCTGACTCGGGACTCGATCCCAAGACCCTGGGATCATGACCTCAGCCTAACTACGACTGAGCCACGCAGGTGCCCCTCATGAAACTTTTTCATTCTAGTTTTTCCCCTTGATATTAATGGCTAATACTATTAGTTCCAGATTCTTGCCTCTTAGAACCCAAAAGTGGGCATTACTATTACCAGGACTAAATTTCTAGTTTCTCAAATCCTAGAGATTAGGCCCAAAACTTTATCAAGAAAGCTTAACAAGACATAAAAAAACTTTCAGTCAGAATGAAAGACATATTCATCTATTTTGGCTAAATCCTGCCTTTCTCAATTACAATTACATTCCTGCTTCTCTGAACTTCTTTGCTCACTCAAAATCTTTAATTTATCCTGTTAGATTGCTTAGTGTGGGTCATCAAGAACTACACAGAGTCTGAGATTTTACTCTTCCTGTAAGCTAATGAATTAGTCAACCACAATTTCATGGATGCTGATAAAAGACACAAGAGTCACAGGGCACCAAGGTGGCTCAGTGGGTTAAGCATCCAACTCTTGATTTCAGCTCAGATCATGATCTCAGAGTCCAGGAATCAAGTCCTGTGTCGGGCTCCATGCTCAGCAGGGGTCTGCATGAGATTCCCTCTCTCCCTCTCCTTCTCCCTCTCCCTCTGCCCCTCCCCCTGCTTGCACACACACACACACACACACACTCACTCTCTCTCTGAAATAAATAAATAAATCTTAAAAAAAAAAAAAAAGACACAAGAGTCCTAACCAGCAGCCAGAATATCAGCATCTCGGTACACTGGTTCCAAGAGCCCCAGTAAGCACAAAGAATGTGAAGAGGGTAAGATAACACCTGCATGTGGAGTGGGTTGCATTATAGGAGAGGACATTTCAGCTCAGCGAACACAAATCTTTTCTAATGGACAATAAGCAGGACTTTGCTCCTGAGGGAGACACTGAATATATCTTCCATAGCTGTTCATTACACAAATGTCTTGCATATTTTGCAGAATTAGAAAAACTAGACTTCACATTTCTAAGTTAGGAAATCCAGGATTTCCAGTTCAAAAGGGGTTATAGCACAAGCCATCACTATCATCAATACTATCAGAATTATATTAAGATTTGCAGGCTTGCTGGGACGCCTGGGTGGCTCAGTCGGTTAAGCGTCTGTCTTCGGCTCAGGTCATGATCCCGGGGTCCTGGGATCGAGTCCCGCATCGGGCTCCCTGCTCCGCGGGGAGCCTGCTTCTCCCTCTGCCTCTGCCTCTCTCTCTATCTCTCATGAATAAATAAATAAAATCTTAAAAAAAAAAAAAAGATTTGCAGACTTGCCTAGGGAAGCAAATAAGTTGGCACATCTTCTAAAGGATGCATTTTCAGTATTTGCCGACATATTTTTGGGGATTCACAGTCCTGCTTCCTTGTGTGGGAGTGGGTGGGGAGAAGGCAGAGTAGGTGAATGAATGTTGGTGGTGGTAATGCACCAGCTTGTTCACCTTACCTTCTATCCCAATCGGTTAAACCTACACATAGTAACTCTCTGTTACTCAAGCGTTGTCTTTTATGGTGCCTGTTTTACCATCTTTCCAAGTGTCTTTTCTTCCCAACCACATACAGTATCCTGTTTGAAAAGAATTGCAATTAAAAATCATTTTTTCCATCTCATATTCCTGTGATATTTTAATACATAGAGAGTTTTCGCAGCTTTTATGATGTACCACCCTGGACAACTTCCAGACAGGCTCATCTCTTAATCTGGCCCTAATCACTGCCATCATGGTAAACAGGAGATGGGTATTGAATATTTATTGTATCTTTGGCACTATGTTAAGATATGATCTAAGAAAGATAGGGAGGTAGGAAGGGAATCAACATTTTGTGCTAGGTGCTGTGCTAGCTCTTTTAAGCACATAGTTTCATCACCACAACACAACGATAACTAAGGGCCAGGGTGGTAAGTGATGAGTATCATGGTAATAAGTGACAGAACCAGGTTTAAAATTCCAGGTGTATCTGATATCAAAATCCATGATGATTTCAGAAAATTTATCTTGAAATTCAAGAAAATTGTAACTCAGGGATAAAAGCTCTGTGCAATGAAGGAATAGTACTAATATATGCTGTGTATTGAACGTGATTGTGGACAGTAAGTGTTAAGGAAAATTACCCTGGTTAAAATAATTACTGCCATAGAGCACTTAGGTCAGTCACTGCTGCTCTGTGTACAGAATGAACCAAGAATGGATTTCTGAGGAAGGTTTTTGGCAGAGCCTGTAGATGGTAACATTAATTCAGGCAGTCAGCTTAGGCACACACTTTACTTTCACAAGACGAGTCCTGGATTTCTACCGCCTCGCTTTGTACCTCAGACTCGAACTCCCTCAAGCTCTTTGAGCTTCTCATCCCCAAATTTATGGGCATCTGCACCCATTCTCAACCCTTGTCTCTGCTCACAGCGAAAGAGATACCCTCCCACAGCTAAAGCTAACTCTTATACCTCCACCCTCCACTGTCTCTAGGTCCTGACTCCATCAGGTTTTCTTTCTCTTTCTTTAACCGGTAAGTTACCACAGCTCCTCCCTGTCAACATTTGAACATATCCCAGGCTCTGCCTTCTTAAAAGACTCTTCCTTGGGGCGCCTGGGTGGCTCAGTCGGTTGGGCGACTGCCTTCGGCTCAGGTCATGATCCTGGAGTCCCGGGATCGAGTCCCGCCTCGGGCTCCCTGCTCGGCGGGGAGTCTGCTTCTCCCTCTGACCCTCCTCCCTCTCATGCTCTCTGTCTCTCTCATTCTCTGTCTCAAATAAATAAAATCTTAAAAAAAAAAAAAGACTCTTCCTTGATTTTTCTTGGTACTATATTATCTCCTTCCTTCACAACCAAGTTTCTCTGAAGAACTGTTTGCATTCATGCTCTTCTTTCCCTCCTTCCCGTTAACGTGCTGACCCACTACACTCTGGTCATGTGTGCCAAAATTGTGCCTCAGTTTCCTCGTCTGTAAAATGGGGATAACAGTAGCTACCTCATAGGACTGTGCGGATTAAATGAATTATTATACATAAAGCACTGAGGACACATACTAAGCACTGTAAGTGTTAGCTGTAATTACTATTATAATAATTATTTCTTAATTACATAGATTCTTTCAAACTTAGTGTAATTGTTTGTTTTCAGAATTAACCATGAATCACATGTATAACCAGCCAGAGGCTTTTAACCCACAACGGACAAAAAGCCCTGCGTACTCAGTAACCGCTTTTTTATAGTAAAAAAAAAAAAAAAAGGTACGTGCTGCTAGTTTTACCTAATAAAACGAATCGAAGCTTACGAGAGAAGAAAAAAATCACCAGCTGTCTCCGGGTCTCCTAGGAGACGGAGTCTGACGTCACGAGCGAGGGACGCCAGTACACACCACTGCGCATGCCCGCCGCCTCCCTGGCTGCGGACGGGCGCAATGCGCATGCTCGCGCCCGGGTCACGGGTCAGCGCGTTTGACTGGCTGCTGGCTTCCTCCGCTCGCGGTAAATGGCGCCAGTGGCGGGAAAGTTGAGTGTGTGGTTCGCCCAGCCTCCGGGGCGATGTGTAGTGACTTCCGCAGGGCCGAGTCCGGGACAGAGGTGAGAGCCGCCGAGTCTGGACGGGAGCGCGAGAGATGGGAACAGGGCGGTGGGCGGGCGAGGGAGCCGGGACGGCGGGAGGTGGGGCGGGTGCCTTGGCCCGGGGCGCGCGGGGCGCTCGGCGGAGGGTAGGCGAGCCGCCCTGGACTGCGGCCCCCCGCCGACCCCTCCTGCCTTCGCACCCGGAGCCGGCCCCCAGTACCTGGGAGTTTTCTGAGATGGGCAGGCTAACGCGCGCGCGCAGAGCGGAGGCGGAGGCAGGCTCCCCCCCACCGCGTGCACATAGGTGTGCGGTTCCTGATCTCTGATCGCTAGGCTGACGGTCCGAATCTGTCACACGTTAACTGCGGTTAGAAACGGTAAGCCAGGCAACAGAAGCGAGGAAGAGGGAGGGATTGCCAGTTGGAGAATTTACAGACGTTTAGCCAGGACAGGCAGTATTTGAGTAGGTTGCCTCCCCTTCTCCCTCTAGCCTCTACATCTCTGTTTATGCTTCAAGCCCTCGCTCTCCCAGCTTGCATTTCCAGCTTAAGTACCTCAAAAAACACGCCAGCTATTTGACATCCTGCAAGAATTTATTCAGGAATTGAACCAGGAAGTTTCGGGTACTTACAGCGTGTCACCCACTGGTTCCACTGGTTAAGGAATTGGAGTGAGAAACAAAAGAAACAACTTCTGCCATTGAAGAGCTAGTCAGGGAGTCCGACCTAAAAATTGCAGTATGTGTAGGAAAGCATGCTGCCCAACAGAGGGGCAGGCATCTAGTTAGGAGGAGCAGATGACTGGGTTTTAAAAGAACCATGTGAGGTTCTCCTGGCAAGGAGGGGGTGGCAGTCAAAGAGAATAGCAATTAACGTGGGTTCTGCCTAAAGAGCACGGCTTATTTAGGGGAACTGCAGGTAGTTCTGAATAGTTGGAACACAGCTAGTGAGGGAAAGTGGAGTTGGGCAGTGAGCACTGAGAAATAGGCCGGGGTGGATTAGGAAGGATCTCTTATACAGATGAGGGAGAGAAGCAATACTCTTTTTTTTTTTTTAAATAAGATCTTATTTATTTGAGAGAGGGAACAGGTGGAGGGGAGAGGCAGAGGGAGAAGCAGGCTCCCCATTGAGCAGGGAGCCTGACATGGGGCTCCATCCCAGAGATCTGGGATCATGACCTGAGCCGAAGGCAGATGCCCAACCGACTGAGCCACCCAGGCGGCGGAGAAACAGTACTCTTCAAGTCAACAAACTTCTCCTGTGAAGGGCGGGATCGTATTTAGGCTTTGCAGGCCAGGGGGTCTCTGTCAGAACTCCTTAACCTTGCAGTTCTAATGTGAAGGCATCCATAGAGAGGTGAACAAATCAGCATGGCTGTGTTAAATTATTTTTAAACTTTTGGATTTGACCTGCTGGCCACAGTTTACCAACCTTTGCTCCTTAAGAGTAGAGCTACTGCATGTATAAGAACCACTACAGTTAAAACCTTACTTACTTAGATGATCGTTTGAAACCAAGGTTAAACATAGATGACTTTTGCAGTCAGAACAAGCCTAGTATCTAAAAAATGGGAGCCCTGGGGTCCCTGGGTGTCTCAGCCGGTTAAGCGTCTGCCTTAGGCTCAGGTCATGATCCCAGGTTCCTGGGATCGAGCCGCGGTCGGGCTCTCTGCCGGGGGTCGGTGTGTGTGTGTGTGTGTGTGTCCCTCTGCTTGCCGCTCCCCCTGCTTACGCGCTCGCTCTCTCATAAATAAATAAAATCTTAAAAAAAAAAAAAAAGGGGAGCCTAACACAGCCAAATCATTGAACAAAAAATTTAGCAACGTATCCTTGGCCTGCCGTGTCTGCGTGGAGACCCTAAGCAAGATTGCCTGGCTCGTACTACTTTGGAGTACAGAGGGTTGGAGGGGAACAAGAAGCTGGGCAATAGGTGCTTCTTTATTTTTTCTCCTTTTTGTTAAGAAAACCAGCTAAGTGAAACTCTTCCTTTAAGTGCTTTTGGGCGCTCAATGGCTAGTGCTTAATTTGTTTGGACACAATTTTCTTCCTTTGCACGTTATGCTACAGTACTTTATGGATTCTACTTGGAGGCACTGTGTTGAGGAAGATACCTGAAGTCAAAAGCTAGCCCAAGAAACAAACTACCTTAATTTTTTTTTTAATTATAGATTTTATTTATTTATTTGAGAGAGAGAATGAGAGAGAGAGCACTGAGAGGGGGGAGGGTCAGAGGGAGAAGCAGACCCCCTGCTGAGCAGGGAGCCCGATGCGGGACTTGATCCAGGGACTTGATCCAGGGACTCCAGGATCATGACCTGAGCCGAAGGCAGTCGCTTAACCAACTGAGCCACCCAGGCGCCCCTACCTTAAATTTTTAATTCATGAGAATTACAACTTCAAAAAGCAGCTAACCATTCCCACCTTTTGCGAGTAGTAGGGAAAAGACATTTCATACAGGGTCTTCCAAGAAAATAAAGTTGCAAAAAATACTTTCTTTTAACATATTCTAGAGATGGAATTATGGTAGGCCAGGTAGCAAGGGGAAAACTTAATAATGAACCCTTGATTTTAAGACCAGCATTTGACTACAGTTTACAATAAAATAACCTGTTTTTTTAACCTTGCCTACTGTTAATCTTTATTCTTTTATCCTGTTTATTCTTCTTAGCACAGCTGACAGTTTATATCGATTTAAAGGTCATGAGAGCAGATTTTGTTGTCTGTTGAGTTTACTCCTTTAGTGCCAGTGATTAGAACAATATTTAGTCCACAGTTGGCACTCAGTAATTGTTTCTTTAGTGGATAAATTTCATATCTTCTCTTCCCTCTCCCCTCGTTTGCCTTGCTTCATGCGTCATTGGAAAGAAAAAATTTCACGGGAACTCCCTTAATTTTTCCTGTTGTCTTTCTGTTACTCATTTCTAGTTTGTGTCCATCATTGTCAGAGAACATACTCTGTATGATTTCAGTTCTTTTGAATTTGTTGAGGTTTTATGGCCCAGGATGTGATCTGTCTTGATGAATGTTCCATGGGCACTTGAAAAAAATGTATATTTGCTGTTGGGTACAGTGTTTTATATACATGAGTCAGATCTTGTGTGTTCAGATCTTCTGTATCCTTAATGATTTTCTGTTGTAAGTCTATCCGTTGCTGAGTGGTGACTGTTAACGTCCCAGCTATAATTGTGGGTTTGTTTATTTCTCCTTTCACCTGTATTAATTAGTTTTGCTTCTTGTATTTTGAGGCTCTGATTGATATGTACACATTTAGGATCATATGTCTTTTTTGGTGGATTGATCCTTTTATTATTCATTCTGTAATGTCCCTCTTTGTCTCTAGGAATTTTCTTTCCTCTGAAGTATGCTTTATCAGACATTAATACAGCAATTCCTGCTTTTTCATGAAGTCTATCTTGATAATATATGCACTGATTTTTCTCTGAATTTCCTCCTTAAAATAGAATAAATATTTTTGCTTCTAAGAAACTGCAACTTCGAGGGTGCCTGGGTGGCTCAGTCAGTTGAGCGACTGCCTTCGACTCAGGTCATGATCCTGGAGTCCCGGAATCGGTCAGTGGGGAGTCTGCTTCTCCCTCTGACCCTCCCTCCTCTCATGCTCTCTCTCTCTCACTCACTCACTCTCTCTCTCTCTCAAATAAAATCTTCTAAAAAAGAAAAGAAACTGCAACTTCGAGGCGACTGGGTGGCTCAGTCGGTTAAGCATCTGACTCTTGGTTTTGGTTCAGGTCATGATCTCAGGATCGTGAGATCAAGGGGAGGCGCGGGGGGTTGGAGGGCCTTGGAGGGGGCTGAAGGGGGGCCCACCCCCCCACCTTGGGCACCTTGGGCTCTGGGTGCAGCTGGGAGTCAGCTTGAGATTCTTTCTCCCTCCCTCTCTGCTCCTCCCCCTGCGTGGGCACTCAAGCGGGGGCTCTCTCTCAAATAAATAAATAAAATCTTAAAGTGCAACTTCTCCACTTATGATACGGATTTTTTCCATCCCATTCCTTCTCAAAGGACCTCACTGCTACAGATGTTCCCACTCCTATGGTCATTTTTCTGTCTTCTGCATTTTTTTTTTTAATTTGTCAGAGAGAGAGCACAAGCAGGGGGAGCGGCAAAGGAGAAGCAGGCTACCTGCTGAGCAAGGAGCCCAATGCGGGACTTGATCCCAGCACCCTTAACCGACTGAGCCATCCACGCGTCCCTGTCTTCTGCATTTTTAGTCTTATTTTCCACCAGTCATTTCCGTTGGTATCCTAACATAAAACAATAACCGCGAAGCAGAAAACCTCCCTAGATGTCAACGCCCCACCCAGCCCCATTCCTTTACTCCTCAGCACAGCAAAGAGTTTGTGCTCTGTGCCTCACTTATCTCCCATTCATTCTTTAGCCCATGGTGATCAGGCTTCGGTCTCCCACTGTACCACTAAAAGTTCTCTTGTCTAGGTTATCAGCCAACTTATGTTGCCAAATGCTCATTTCTGAGTGCACTCCTTTTAGACTGAAGTATAGGAACACAGGAGAAAGTGTACTTCCTGTAGGAAAGCCGTTGGGAGGGAGGAAGGGGGTGTCTAGTACCTGCTCTTAAAATAACCCATTAGAAAATCTTCCCTGGGGAAGAGAGAATGAGAGGATAGGAGAATATGCCAGAAATATTTCTCCAGCAGAGTTCCTTACATGCAAGGTGAGAATAAGTGTTCTGCCAACGTTAAGCTCCTGTAATTTTGATTTTGTGCTTTCTGTTTTTTTCTGGGACTGTGCATATATTTGATTTTTTTTAAAGATTTTGTTTATTTGAGAGGGAGAGCGAGCGAGTGGGGAGAGGGGCAGAGGGAGAGAATCTCAAGCTGACTCCATTGGAGCCCGATGTGGGGCTTGATCTCACGACCCTGAGATTATGATCTGAGCCGAAATCAAGAGTTGGACACTTAATCGACTGAGCCACCCGGGTGCCCCTATATTTGTTTTATCTAAATGAAAATTTGAAGCAGTTTGATATAACTTCCTGATGAAATCT